GTATGCCTTTTATCACAACCCTCGGGAGGCAGAGGCAGGTGGACCTACCTCTGCATAGAAAAATCCTGTCTCGAACACATCCCCCCACCCCCAAAAATGTTGCCTGGCTGCTCTTCATTCCAGGCCTTTGTTGTTACTTTAAGAATGGCTTTTATTTCAATGTGATATGGGCCCATAGAGTCTCCATTTTCTGCTGTGTTCCACTAGTTTTCTCATATTTTAACTGTTGACAAATCTTCAGAAATATCCTGTCCAATACTGTTTCATTCAAAATGTGCTGGGTTTTTTTTTTTTTTTCTGAAACTGAAGGGTCCCTACCCACAACCTACTCCACTCCACAGGACCTACTCTGTGCACAGAATTTGATTCCTGGCATTCCACCCAGTGACTTCACCATGAGGGGCATAAGATCCTCCTGTATTGATGGAATTCTGCAAGGCAGACTGAGGTTTTGGGGGAATGAGGGTGGGGTGAAATGTCAAATCTTTTAAGTTCAGACTTCATTTTAGAGAACCTGACCTAAGTTTGAACTCAGGTAAACTACCAGGCTAGTACCTAGCATTAGTTTCCAAGTTGCCCTCCAACAAAACCCGAGCCTATCCCAAATAAGACCAGAGTTTCCAGGTTACACCCTCAACAAGACCAATGTCTCCAGGTTATCCCCCCAACAAGCCTGCACTCCCAGGTTACAAGCCCACCCCCTGCCTAATGGTCACCAATGCATATGGGAGCAGAAATTAAGTTTATGATATGACTCCCAGCACCAGCCAATTGTGTTAAAGGCCACAGTAGCTTTCCAATTGGATGCTTGCACACATATTCCTTGCTTGCTGCTTACTATAAAGCCTTGCCCCATAGACATTTGGGGCTCCCCCACCACCAAAACCATACTGTGTGACAATGGTTGGGAGAGGGGACAAGCTGGCTCGAATGGAATAAAAACCCTGCTGTGAGTTGCATCAGATTGGCTCCTGTGTGTGTTTTTGGGGATCACTAACATTTCCCTGGCACAACAGTGTTTCAAGACAAGGCTTTGCTCTATACACCTGCCTGACCTAGACCTTGCTATGAACACCAGGCTGGCCTCAAACTCACAGATCCACCTGCCTCTGCCTCCCTAGTGATGGATTAAAAGTATGTGCTACTACCTTAAATTTGGACAGCATTTTTGTAATCTAGAGTGGAAACTAATTTCCCTTATACTCCAAATAGGAAGTCTGTCATCTCTGTTTAGTTACTTAATCAAAGATGTACTTGCTTTAACAATTTACATTTCCTGAGAGAAACAATAATTTTGAAACAATATAGCTCACATGTACCTCAAGGCAGCCTTGAGCTCACTATATAACTAAGGATGACCCTGAACTTCTGATTCCAGCTTCCAAAGAGTTAAGAGTATTATGTGCCACCTTGTCGTGGTTTTGAAGTGCTAGGGATCAAATTCACAGCTTCCCGGATGTTGGGCAAGCTCTGTCCAGTCTCTTACAGTCCTGTCCCCTCCCCATGCCTGTGTTTGCTTGTGTGAAGTCAGGATCTCCTGGAGCTAACACTGGCCTCCAAATAGCTGAAAGTTATCTCAAACTCCCGTTCCTCCTGCCTCTAACTTTTAAATGCTGGGATTGTAACATATACCACAAGACCCAGTTTAAAACAGAGGCAGGCTGTGTGGTGGTGGCCCAGGCCTTTAATCCCAGAGCTAGGGAGGCAGAGGCAGGCAGATCTCTGTTAGTTCAATGCCAGCCTGGTCTACAGAGTGAGAACAGCCAGGGCTATTCTTTCAAAAACAAACCAAAAAACAAAACAACAACAACAAAAAAACAAAACAGAACAAAACAAAAAGGGGGGAGGTCTAGAGAAAGAGATGGTCAGTTTTTAAGAACACTTGTTGCACTTGGAGAAAACCTGGTTTTGATTCCCAGTACTCACATGGTGGCTCATAACTCCAGTTCAGGGAATCAGATGCCTTTTTCTAACTTCTCAGGCAACAGAAACACAAATGGTACACAGATACACAGATATACATGCAAGAAAAACACTCATACACATGCAATTTTGGGGGGGAGAGGGGGTTTATCTGCATAGCCTTGGCTGTCCTGGAACTCACTTTGTAGACCAGGCCTGCCTCTGCCTCCCACCAAGTGCCCGGGACTGAAGGCATGTGCCACCACTCTTTTTTTTTTTAATCTAAAAAAATAATAATTGAAAAACAAGCTAAACCCAAACTTTTTTTTTTTTTTGGTTTTTCAAGACAGGGTTTCTCTGTTTAGCCCTGGCTGTCCTGGAACTCACTCTGTAGACCAGGCTGGCCTCGAACTCAGAAATCCGCCTGCCTCTGCCTCCCAAGTGCTGGGATTAAAGGCGTGCACCACCACTGCCCGGCTAAACCCAAACTTTTTATTTCCTTCAAAATATCTGAATGGTCCAGAAAGCTCAGGTCAGAGTTCTCAAGGACAGGTTTAAAATGTTAATTCGGTGAAGACAAGTACATTAGCAAGCATTTGTCTTCCCTGAGACCCACAGGATGTGTGACAGCCAATACCACCACCGGAAAACTGTATAAAGGATCCCTAGGGTGTTGTCTTTTTGAGTGTTCCCTAATTGAATCCTGGAGGATGGGCTGAGGAGTTCCTCCTTCAGATCCGAGGTGGGAGAAATCTAACCCATTCAGCATTAGAATAAGAATAGCTTCTCAACTGTAGACTAACAATAGTTATTTTGGGGCTGGAGAAATGCCTCAATAGTTAAGTGATAGCCTGATCTACAGAGTTCCAGGACAGCCAGGGGTACACAGAGAAACCCTGTCTCAAGAAAAACAAAAGCACCAAAGTAAATAAATAAATAAATAAATAAATAAATAAATAAAAGCATTTGTTGCTTTTGCGGAGGGTTTGGGTTTAGTTCCCAGCACCCACCTGGTAAGCTCATAACCATCCATTTCCAGGGGATCCAATACCCTCTCCGGACAATGTACACATATAGTATACCTAATATGCACATACAAAAATCTACACCTAGTAAAAATTGAGTTACAAAAAAAGCAAAAATATAGCTGGGCAGTGGGCACACGCCTTTAATCTCAGCACTTGAGAGGCAGAGGCAGACGGATTTCAAGAGTTTGAGGCTAGCCTGGTCTACAGAGTGAGTTCGACAGCCAGGGCTACACAGAGAAACCCCATCTCGAAAAACCAACCAACCAACCAAACAAACAAAAAGAGCAAAAATATTTATTGAACACAGAAGTGATGCTCCTACCAGTAACCCCAAATAGTCAGAAGGGTGAGGCAGGTGGATTGATGTTTGAGAAGAGCCTGGCCTACAATGAGACCTGCCTCAAAAAGAACAAAATTTAAGAAACATATACAATTGTGTATACTTGTGATGTGTATTTATCTATCCCAATGTTGACGTGTGTATATATGTGTGAATTTACCTCAATAGTCTATGTGTGCATACAGCGATGTCTGTCACTCAGTGGGGATATAAATGTACTAGTGTGTTTATCTGGCCGTCTGATCACCGTTGTGTTACTTATCATCCTGATTTGATTTCGGCTCAGGACAGCTCTAACTATATATTCCTCCCTTTAGCCCTTATCCTCAGAGACGGATATGAAGCACACCATTTATGTACCCACAGTAATGTAAGCTTTCTACTCTAGTGGAGAAAAGGGACATCAGGTTCCTGAATGCCGAGAAGAATGAAGCTGGCAGCAGGGAGAGGCTCTCTCAACAGATAAGTATCACAGACTAGCAAAACAGGCTGGTGCTCCCAGTTCCCAGCACTCAACAGATAAAGGCGATAAAGGCCGGGCAATCTCGGGAGTTCAAGGTCAGCCTGATCAACTATATAGGGAATTCCTGGACAGCCTGGGGTAAAGAGTTAAGACCCTACCTAAAAACAAAACAACAAAGCAAAAGATCTTCAAGAAGTAACAAGCTCGGTACCTGGGATAAGGGAGGGCAAGCTGGAGCAGAAAAGGTACCGGCTACACATGTGACATTACTTAAAACCTTTTGAGACAAGGTTTCTCTGTTCAGCCCTGGCTGACTCACTTTGTAAAACCAGGCTAGCCTTGAAATCAGAAATCCGCCTGCCTCTGCCTCAAGCACTGGGATCAAAGGCGTGCGCCACCGCTGCCCGATGGGTTTTTTTTTTTTAATTGGATGAGAAAATTCAATGAATTCTCCTTGGCCCTGGGTGTGGTAGCACATGCCTCTAATCCCAGCACTTGGGAAGTGGTGGGAAGAGGTCCTCCTCAGCTACACAGATTTTCCTTACTGATTACAAAAGGGAGAGCTGTTATGTATTGCAAACACATTTATCTCCACAGATAAGGATTTTCTTCCATTGCTGTCAATAGCATGTATTATACGTACTTGTTTCTAAGTCCCCTACTTGTAGGTGTAGATGTATAGGAATATATTTGTTTTGAGATAGGGTCCCACACTTAGCCCAAATTGGCCTAGAACTTGCTTTGTAGCCGAGACTGGCCATGAATTCTCCTGTCTCCCAAGACCCTACATATATTTAAGTTAAAGACATAGTCAGGGAATTCAATGACATGCCTAAGGTCATAAGCCCAGAAAGCTCCCCACGTGGGATTTGTTCCACATTAACAAACTGGTCTCCCTCCACCAGGGTAAACTGAAATACCTACTTTGGTGGTTCTCCAACCAAAAGTTCCACTTTCCCTAATGCAGAAATTGACACCCCATATTACAAGCCAGACAGTTTAACAGGTTGGATGCAGAAGATAAAGATCCTACAAGCTACAATCTGCGTAGGCATTTACAAGGATACAAAAGGGACACCAGGCAAAGGGTTCTGGCTCTTTAAATGTTTTAATGATGACATGCAGATATTCACATCAGAATACACAGTAGGGATCCAAGAATATCTTGAAGGACCTAACAAAGTTAACTCATGTCAGGCCAAAAAAAAAAAAAAAAAAACCTCATGTGAGAACCAAACACTGGCCAGCCACAGCTTGTGTCTAGGTGGGACTCACAATGACTGGAAACTGGCTTTACTTCTTCGAACCCTGGTCTAGTTCGAGGACCTTCATGCCTTCCTCCAGCTTGAGCATGCCTGCATAAGAAACACCAACAGCAGGATTAAGTGTTGTGGAACAGTAAGGGGACTGTATGATTCACCATCTCTAAGCACCTTTGTGTAGACCTCTAATTAGAACCAGGGCACCACTGGGCCAGTTCTAACGTTTTCCTAGAAGCCTGGAGATGGGGGGTAGGGTGGGACAGTGTTATCTCAGATAACCCTGCCCAGAGGGACAAGTCCCAACCTCTTCTCACTTTAGACTTACCTCTGGGCCCCCGAACTCCCAGAAGATTGTCAGAGACAGCCCAGAGGAGTCCCAGGTGATGCCCAAAGCAAGGCATCTTCAGAGGGATGCAAGGAGTGGAGATGTGAAAAGGGGGTAAGCGAGGTGGAGGGAGGAGGCTGCTCCACCATGCCTTGGTTCAGGGGACCAGTTAGCGACTCACCTCTTTCCTGGCGCAGGCGGTACCTCTCAGCCATGGACTGAAGCATCCATTTAGTCCGAAACTTCTTTTGTCCAGAGCCATAAATTAAGATCTCGGTAAGATCAGAAGATTCCAGAGTCTTGAGCTCAAACATGACCCGGCCCACCTGCTCGAAGTGAGGCATTCGAGATCCCTGTGGGCCTGTTGAGGAAAGAAAATGAGTGCTCCAAGACCGGGAGCTCGGGCCTTGGCAGCCGGGCAGACCTTCTACTCACCGAACAGAGCGTTTAGCACCAGCTTGTTGACTTGCAATACTTCTGGCCTTTCCAGGTCGGTAGGAATTTTCACCCATGGGGGGATATCTTTACGAGTCACCTGAGTTTTCATCTTAAATCCTGACAAGGAACCTGTTTCCAGGGAAGACTAGGTCAGGTTTAACCTCGATGGGCCACAGCTCCTGAACCTGGGTTCAAGAAGTTTAGCGCCTATAAAGGCGTTGTTTTACTAGACCACGCCTGCTAGGACCCGCCCCCTACGGGGCCCAATCTTAGAAGACTATACCCTCAGGCTGTACCCTGGGAGACTAACCCAGGCCTCCAGGCCTCCCTCTCCAGCTGAGCCGAATCTAGGAGTGGGTGTCTTAGGAATAGAAATCAGTGTTGATGACCTTCCTCTGGGAAATAACTGATGCGATCTCAACCCCGACAAATGGGGAATCCATACTGGAAGGTTCAAAGACTTCTAAAAGGCTATAAGCTTTTCCCATCCCGGAAGAAACGGATCCTGGGACCTCATTTTGTGGGGTGCCAGAGCAACCCCCAAGAGCTCAACAATAATTCTTGTCATTTAACAAAAATGAAAAGGAAACTTGGGATTTCATTCTTTTCACTAAAAGCTCTAGGTGCTGTGCCTTTAAAGCGTGCCTACTGTCGTCCTTCAAGGTCCTGGTTTGGATGTTTAGAACTGACCTGAATTTCAAAACTCACGTGTTCCTTGCCTACCCCCTCCCTACAAATTGATCTAGGCGTCGGGGTAGCCACTGCATAAACTTGGTTTATTCACTATTAAAAACAGTATTTTGGGGGCTAGAGAGATGGCTCATTGTTTAAGAGCACTGCTCTTCCAGAGGTCCTGAGTTCAATTCCCAGCAACCACATGGTGGCTCACAACCATCTGTAATGGGATCTGATGCTGTCTCCTGGTGTGTCTGAAGACAGCGACATTATAATCATATAAATAAAAGTAAATACATTTAAAAAAAAACCCACTGTTTCAAACAAATTTGAAGCCATTTGGGTTCACTGGTGAGGAGGTGATTTCAGTGTGTTATAGTTTATGATGAAGATGAACCTGGGTTTTCCCAGGCCCTGCAGAGTCTGGTATCATGTAAAGTCCTTCATCTGGTTCTTAGTAACTTAGTAACAGCTTAGAGCAACATCTTGTTTTGGGTTGTTTTTTGGGGGTGAGGGTGGGAGGGGTGGTTTGGGTTTTGGTCAGTTGTTTGGTTTTTGTTTTCTTGTTTGACTTTTTTTTTTTTTTTTTTTTTGAAACAGGATTTCTCTGTATAGCCTTGGCTGTCCTGGAACTTGCTCTGTAGCAGGCCTACCTAAAGAATTCAGAGATCTGCCTGCTTCAGCCTCCCTAGAGCTGGGGTTAAAGCTGCATGCTACTACTACCTGGCACGGTCTGGGCTTTATTGCAATGACTATTATTAACCATTTAGAAAATGATCACCAATAGCTAAAACTATTGGATGAAGGTTAATGAAGACTAGATATTTAAAAGTTCTGGAAGTCTTAGGGCATTGCTTTACAATAGAGACAAAGAGACAAAGCTGGTCAATTGTCATGTAAAAAGAGTGAGAGCCCTTTTATTAGTACATTGAAGGGACATTGAAAGCTGTGCTACTGTTCTCCACTCAAAGACTATTTCACTGCAAGAAAGAAAACAAATATGAACAGTATTACAAAGTCATTTAGAAATGTCTACAGAGCTGAGCAGTGGTGGTGCATGCCTTTAATCCCAGCACTTGGGAGGCAGAGGCAGGTGGATTTCTGAGTTCAAGGCCAGCCTGGTCTACAGAGTGAGTTCCAGGACAGCCAGGGCTACACAGAGAAACCTGTCTCGAAAAACAAAATACAAAAACTAACAAACAAACAAAAAACCCCAAAAAACAGAAATGTCTACAGAGTGTCTGGAGTAAGTACTTGGAAGGTAGGAGAAGCCTGGGTTCAGAGCCAGGCTAGGCTATGTTTCAATAACATAGACCCTGTTTCAACAACAAAAAAGAGGGAACTTGAGAGATGGCTCAATCATTAAGAACACTGTGTGTGGTTATGTGTATGTAAGTTTAGGTGTTATGGAGTCCAGATCAGAATCCCTGGAGAGATGCAGGATTACATAGGCACTAAGGACTTAAATTTTGGATCTCCTGAAAAAGCAGTAAGCCTTCCTAACTGCTCACATCAATCCAGCTCCAAAACAAAACCAAGTGTTTATACCCTTAACTCTTCTGTAGTTTTGATTAAAATGCGTGTGTGTGTGTGTGTGTGTGTGTGTGTGTAGGAGGTTATGGATGGAGAAAAGGAAATAAAATGAACAGAACATGACTGCTCCTAGGTATGATGGAGAAAGTGGCCAAAAAAGTGAACAAAGAAGACCAGGTAACCACAGAGGGTGGAGTATATAGGGAAGGACAGCCCAGTCCCTGGACTAGAGAAGTCTAAGGTAGGGAGCAGGCATGCTAGACAGGAGGACAGGAGAATGCAGGCAGAGTCAGCAGGTCGGGTACCATTTGTTAAATAGGCACATCAGCCTTTTGTCCGGGATTTGAAAGCTAACAGTTACAAGTGCATACACTTATCAGGTGTGGAGGAGGTCAGATGACAACCTAGAAGTTGGTTCTTTCTTTCCACAATGTGGGTTCTAAGACTTGAACTTGGGACAAGTTCCTATACCCACTGAATCATCTCAGCCATCCTTGACATTTTTGTTGTTTTTCAGGACCAGGATTCGCACCCCCCCCCCAATCCCTTGACATTTTTAAATGAAGAGAATATGGAAGTGCTATACAGCATCAGGTTCCTAAAAACAAGACACATGGTGGGGGGTGTCTAAGCCGTCGTAATTTCTAAATCTTCATCGCTAATTCCTTTGGTTGGAGGGGCAACAACATCTTAAAAACACCGGGAAACTGGATACTTCCAACCCCCAACCCCAGTTTTTTTCAAGACAGGGTTTCACTGTGTAGCTCTGGCTGTCCCGGAACTCTGTAGACCAGACTGGCCTGGAACTAAGGGATCCACCTGCCTCTGCCTCCCAAGTGCTGGGATTAAAGGCGTGGGCCACAGTGCCAGGCTAGAAACTGGACTTTTATGTCTTCGATTTTAAAAAGATATTAGAGGCAATCCTGCACAAACTTTGTGTGTGTGTGTCTGTGTGTGTTGTAAGATTTATTTTATGTATTTGAGTACACTGTCACCGTCTTCAGACACACATCAGAAGAGAGTATCAGATCCCATTCCAGATGGTTGTGAGCACCATGTGGTTCTGTAAGACTTTTGGGTCTAAATGTAGGATTTCGGGTCTTGGTTTGAATTTAAGATTAAAAGAACCCCACTGTCCCAGGACAAATCCCAGGAGGGGCACATTCCTTAGTCAGAAGACACTTGCTGGATTAACATTCAAAGGAGGGAGGGAGAGGCTGATTAACATTCCTCAAACCACAAGGGAGGGAACCCACCTGTGAAGAGAGCCCAGGGCGTAGTTACATTCCAGGAATCAAGAAGCTAACCCCTTAACTTAATAAACCTGGGTAAATGGATACTCCTTGTCATGATCTGAGTCACCAGAGACCAAACCCGGAAAGGTCAGACTTTGTGATTTGCTCTTATGAACTATACTGTACCCATAAATACTGTATCCAGCTCTTGTTTGGCACTCTCTTTCCTGCATGTGAGAAAGTCCTAATGCACTAGTTTCCTTAAACCAAACCTCATGTGATTGCAGTGAGTCCTGTCTGTATGCGTTTCTGTGGGAGCGCGTCCCCTGGTTTTGGATTTTAGAGTTCAACAGTTCCTGGGAATTGAACTCAGGACCTTTGGAAGAATAGTCAGTGCTCTTAACCACTGAGCCATCTCTACCCCCAAGTTTTGTGGTTTTGACAGGCTCTTGTGCTACTGTGCTAGCCTCTAACTCTAATCTGGGCCTAACTGCATGGGCTACTCTCAAGAGGCTTAAAAGCTAACTTCAGCAATAAGGAACATTATTTCAGGTACTGGCCAAGAGCCCTAGGGACTTTCACCAGCCTTACACCCACTTGTCTCTGTTCAAGGCTAGGCCAAGTTCCATTCTCCACCTACAGGATCATTCTTGAGTAAAAAATTCTAAGAATGTACTGACTGATCATCACCTGACCCTCTGGAAAGTCATAGAGTTCAAACCTGTGTGGTGCTTGCTAACCAATAGATTTAAAGGTCAATATGCTTAACCAAAAAGTTTGAACTGTAACCTTGCTGATGTAACCTGTGCCCCTAAAAAAGTATAAAAACTGCTTGTAGCCAGGCGGTGGTGGGACATGCCTTTAATCCCAGCACTTGGGAGGCAGAGGCAGGCAGATTTCTGAGTTTGAGGACAGCCTGGTCTACAGAGTGAGTTGCGGGACAGCTAGGGCTGTACAGAGAAACCCTGTCTCAGAAAACAAAAACAAAACAAAATAAACAAACAAAAAAAGACAACTATTAGAGAGGAGAAAACACTGAATGCACCTCATAGGTGATATTTCTGTTAAGGTATGTTGTTTTGATTTTTTGCATAAACACAGTAAAGCCCAGGGATGCATATTCCATTGATTTGTATAGAATGTACCAGTAAGTACCTTTATTACAGCTGAAATACACTGTAGTATGTAATGAAGAAACATTCTGTAAAGATACAGGAAAAGAAAACCATACATTGTTCATGAATTAAAAAGACAACTATTAGAAAGCAGAAAACATTGAATGCATCTCATAGGTGATATTTCTGGTAAGAAACATTGTTTTAATTTTAGCATAAACACTCTTTTACTGCCTAAGGAATGTAAATCTAACATGTTTCTGGTTGTTGGTAGAGAGAGTTCCACCCAGGCATGCATATTTCAGTGATGCCCAGTGCCAAACCCATGAAATTCCCTGCTGTTCTAGAAAACTTAGTCAGTTAAACTACAAGGTTAGTAAGTGATGTTCACTGTCTCAGGTCCCAGGAACTTAAAGGCCTGGTATGTCTTGGAAGCCAGTTATGATAGTGAGATGGTCTTATCAATGAGGATACAATAGTGGGATAGCCGTAAGCAATGATCTCTGCCCAAACTTTCTGTTTTGCTATGTCTTTATAACCTGCCATAACCTGCCGCCTGAAATTAAAATTTGAGAGCTTGATCAAAACCCTCGACTT